ACTCGAGCCACTTGGAAACAAAATTATTCCACTTTCTTTTCCTTTCGAGCTCTTCATCTGACATTTCCAGACGGCGACCATAATCTTGTTTATCCTTATACTCTAAATATTCCTTTATTTTTGCTTCGAAAATGTAATAACATAGTATCAATTATTAACGCAAGTGCCTAACACCCCAAGACCCGGGGTGCTTACTGGCCACTCTATTAAATAATAATGTATTAATTATTTATTAACAAAAGCGCCTATTACCCCCTATCACATGATAAACCAGGATGCTTACTGGTCGCGCTATTATATAATACAGTAATAATTATTAACACAAATGCCTATCACCCATAGACCCAGGGCACTTACTGGCCTCTTAATGTAATAACATAGTATCAANTTTCTTAATTATTGTTCGAAAATTGTTTAATACCCCTCTTTCTAAGTTGTTCGTAAGATAACATATATCACGGCTGACATATCTTCGAAAAAATGTGATTTGACACAACTTTTTTTCTTCAAAATTGGCGGAAAATTTACAGCTGTAAAAACCTTTTTTAAATAGCAACAATTTATAGGTCTTTACAGCTACTTTGTTGTTAAATATAACTATGACTGTTAATAGTTATACGTAGCTATAATTACAGCTATTATTAACAACTATAATTATAGCTATATATTTTTAACTGAGCTATTGATATAAAGGTTTTGCATTTATTTTGTGTACTCAACGATCTTAGTTTCTTCGTTACCTTTTATCGTTATTTTGGTTAACCATCAGTGGTGAAAGAAGCGGTATACATGATCACTTGTGGGAACCCAAAATTGCCTAAACAACAGTGTCAACTCACAATTGAATTCAAAAAAGTGCCAGTTCAGATTTGTCTTCAAAACCTTACTAACTTAAAGTTGCCTTGGAGAAATACGTTTACTTTTCTATGGAGCAGTCGTAGCACTGATTTTCAAAACAGAAAACGTTTCCTATGTGCAGTAATCTTAAACAGCGCCACCTGCACGACGATGCTGGATGACACGATTACATATAAGCTTTAATTTGAAAGTTAGTTTTGAAAGTAACAAATTGAAAAATTTCTTTTTCTAGGAAAAAAAAAATGTTACGTACATTTCACCTAAAAATTTTTCTTTATCATCAACCTTTCTAAAAAATTCGAACTATTTTTTTCTTTCTACTAACATGATTCAATTTTTTTTTAATCTAGCAAAAATGATAACCAGAAAAAATATTCGAATGAAAGCTGTATGCCATAAACGACTTCAAATACAAAAATATTATATTCATTACCTTTTGTTTTATACATACATACAAAAAACAATTTTTTTAGCTTGAGCGTTTCCCATGACTATTATCAAATTTCAAGGTCAAAGTTTTGATAAAGTAAACTTATTTCTAATAAGCCCCTGTTTTCTCATGGTCAATTCTACGCAACGTCTTTAAGATACGAAGCGAAAATTAAAAAAAAAAAGAACTTTAACTATAGCCTAATAGTAATTTAGAAACGGAAAATATTACTAAGAAAAAAGTTCTTGATGCTGACTAAATGAAAGGTCAATAAGTAATTCGATCTCCATGAGTTAAACATTGTTAAGGTTTTGAATTATACGTTATGTCATTACACACTTAATGATGCACAAACTTAATAGAACTATTTAATTGTAGAGAAAAACAAGGATAACACAATAAGAGTAAGGGTACTATTTTTCCAGACACTCTCATAGATATATGTCATACGGCTGGCGGCGAGAGCAGGGGCGTGGCCGGGGTCCTATTTTGGCAGGCCACGTGATCCTGCGTGGGTAGCCAGTATGCGCGGAAGAGGGCGCGCGGTGGCCCCGCGTAATTTAAATATTATTACCGACGCTGCTTGGCCGGTAACAATTTTTTTTTTTTTTTTTTGAGGGGGGAAAATTAAGACGTCCAAGTTCCAACTGAGCCGATTGGTAAGCGTGACGGGATTTAAAAGTTGCAAAATTCAAAAATTTGTTCTAATTCTTGACCGCTCTTCGT